GGCATAAGTGAGAGACATGAGTACCAACATAACGCCACAAAAAAATCGAAAATCGAATATACGTAACCCGCGGAAATTCAAAATTCGCGATATTTTTTGAACAGACCTCGTTTACCAGGTTTCACGTGAGACGCCATGCTGAAATATACACACGTAAGATTCGAGTTGCTCACCGACATTGATATGATTATGTTCATCGAGTGCGGGGGTCTCAGTAAATGCTCCGGCAGATATGCGCAGGCTAATAACAAGTACATGTGTTCGTTCGATCCATCGAAACTGTCGTACTTGATGTATTACAATGTGAATAATCTGTACGGATGTGTCAACTTTTACCATACGCAGAATTTCGATGGATCAAAGAGACGTTGCGAACTTTGACGTGAGCGCGATCGCTCCGGATTCACCTACCAGTTATATTCTCGAGGTCGATCTCGAATATCCGCAGCATCTACACGACCGACCTACACACACTGACCTACCTTCCTGTCCAATGCGCGATAAACCGCCTGGCAAGCGCGAAGATAAACTTCTAGCGACATTGTACGATAAGCAGCGTTACGTCATCCATTATCGCAACCTGCAGCAATGTACACGATCTTCGCGTAATAAAGATCCATCGAGTGCTACAATTCGCTCAATCTCCATGGCTCTGCAATTACATTGAACTCAATACACAATTTAGAATGTTCGCGAAAAACGATTTTGAAAAAAATTTGTATAAGCTAATGAACAACGCAGTATTCGGTAAGACCATGGAGAATGTGCGCAATCACGTTGATGTAAAATTAATAACAAAATGGGACGGACGGTACGGCGCGGAGGCAATGATCGCGAAACCGAATTTTCACAGCCACAACGTCTTTGCGGAAAATTTGATTGCCGTCCAAATGCGCAAACTCGAGGTGAAATTCAACAAGCCGATTTACGTGGGTATGTGCATACTTGACATATCGAAAGTCTGTTTGTACGAATTTCATCACGAGTACATGTCACCGATGTATCGCAACAAATGCAAGATCATGTACACCGACACGGATAGTCTCATTTACTATATAGAATGCGACAATGTTTACAAAACTATGAAACGCGATATCGCTAGATTCGACACGAGCGATTATCCGGCAGACAACGTGTACGATATGCCTCTCACGAACAAAAAAGTACTCGGCCTGATGAAGGATGAGAACAATGGTGTATTAATGAATTTGTTGGACTTAGAGCGATGATGTACGCGGTGAGAGTGGATGGCAAGAAGGACATTAAAAAGGCGAAAGGCGTAAAGAATAACATCGTAGCGCGAACGATAACGTTCGACGATTACACGCGGTGTTTGAACGAAAAGATTGAAATGACTTGCCGTCAATCGTGTATACGATCTAAATTACACGAGGTGTACACGATATCCGAATCGAAAATCGCTCTGAGTCCATACGACGACAAACGA